TCAGGGAGAACCGGCGCAGCTGCTTCCAGCGCTCTCCCTCGGCGAAGACCACCCCTGAGGGCAAAGGAGAGCGATGAGCCCCGTGGCCAGGAAAGAGGGGCCGGCCTGACCGGCTCCCGCCCCACCAGCCTGGAGCCCTCACCATATCCTTGGAAGGTCCTCTGCAGGACAGGGTTGGTTTTCCTCCCGGAAAACTCTTCCGCCTTGTCAATCAGGGCCTCCTTCACCGCTTCGTAGCCACACAGCACCACAATCGGGCGGTTCCCAAAGTAGACCGTGAAGACGGGGCCGTATTTTTCCCGCAGCTGCACAGGGAGAGGAAACACGGCTAGTCCCTGACCTGCGACCACAATTGAGCCCAAAATTTGTGTTCTTAAGCGAGACAGTCATTCTGTGAGTTTTGCCTCATTTTGCGACCTTTCTTGTCTCTTTTGTCACGCAAATCACTGCAGTTGATAAGCGAGTAACCTGGTTGTTACGTGAATCTGGCTTCCCCCCCCTTGACTTTGCTTGTTAGAAGGTCGCAAAGGGGGATCACATGACCCCCTCGGGACGCTGTGACCGTCGTAACTGTGAGCCAGTTGCCCAGTGTCTGAATTTTGATACCTGACCCTGGGATGCTGCAACGGTCGTAAGTGGGAAAAACAGTCCTAAGTCACATTTTTCAGTGCCGTTGTAACTTTGGATGGTCACTAAATGAACTGTTGCAAGTCAGGGCTGCCTGTGCTCCGATCCAGACCTCCAGCGCCAGGTGGCCCCGTGGAACGAGCCTCTCGGAAAGGCCATCGTTCTGCTTCCGGTGAAGCTGGGCCAGCTGCCTCCGAGGACAAGGGAGCAGCAGCCACAGCCAAAACCCTTCCCCTGGGGGGGGGAAGCGGCCCCCAGGAGGCTTCCGCCCTCTGCCCCACCCCGCAGGATCCCTCTCTCCACAGAGGGATCACCTGCCTGCCTCAGTGGGTGGCTGCATCACCCAGCTTTGGCTGATCGACGGATTCTTTTGACTTAAGAGCCCCCCTCTCACATTCGGGAACTGGGTAACCATGAAAAGCTAAGCCAGCCCAGCCCGAGGACAAACTCGGATGGGGAACCGAGCGGGTTCCCGGGGCTGCAGGGCGGAGGGAGGAGAAGGCAGCCCTCCCGTGCCTTTGTGAGGAGGCCCAGGGGTGCCCTTGCCAGAGGGTGGAAACCTGGGAGGGTTGGGATCCACCCAAGCTCTCTTGAACTTTGCTTCCAAGCTCTTCCTCCCTCAGCAAATTGCATCCACCCCAGGACTCTTGTCCCTGGATTACTAGGAACTCTTGGAAGGCAATCAGAGGTTCTCTGCTGTGGAATCTGGCCTCTGCTGCCATTTGAAGCACAGTCCCGGGGGGGGGGGACTTTGTTTTTTGCCTGGGCTGAGCCGAGAGTCGTTCAGCTCACAGGACTGTTTCCTACAGAGAGAGGCAGAGTCCCTCGGTGGCTCAATCGCCTTGCGATTTACACAGAACTTTTGCAGTGCAGCCGCTGAAGTTGCTGTGAGGTGCAATCTTAAGGCCAGAAGAATTGCCTCATGAATCACCAGTAGCCTTGAGAATCCAGTTCTTGGAACATAAATACTGATTATTCATTAAATAAATATCCCTTCATTCATCGTGTAGCATACCACACTGGCAAAACCCTGTCCGCTTAGTCCACAGGCAAATTGCACAATGCCCCGAAGTCTCGCCAAGGCAGAAGAGACCCCAGCCCCCTCCTAAAGTATTGGAAACAAAGCTTCCAACATTCTAGGAAACGGCTCTGGGGGATCTTTTGACAACAATGGTGGCGCCTGTATCCTTCAGGTGTGTAGGAGATATTTGCATTTCCTGATGTTCCATCATTAATATCCCAGACACTAGACGGATTTAAAATGGGTGGTAGAGGTGGTGGCTACTCTGGGTTATAGAATTGCTCCCCAAAAGCAACCTTCACGCCAAGGCTGTGTATTATCCTTTTGGGGGGGGGGTGCTGGACGGGCTTCCCTCTGCCAGCCGAACCATCTTGAGAACGTTTCCCCAAGGTAAGCAAACCCTTTTCCCAGCCCCATCAGGCTTCTCAAGAACCGCCTTAGCCTAGAAAAGTGTTCTCTAATCTTGGATTGTGTGGCTCCTCAGGAGACACTCGATCTGCTTGATCAGAAGATGATTTGGCTAAATCTGAGACATGACGGCCAAGGGGAAAAACCTTTTCCAGGCTTCATGTAGGTGTGAATGAATAAATGGAAGCCGAAAGAAAAAGAAAAAAGGAAAGAAGACCGAGGCAGACTGGATCCCGAAAGAAGATTCAGCCTACTCTCCTGAGGAATCCCATCGAAGCCACAGGAAGGAGGTGTGGTGGAAGGAGAAGGTTGGGAACATTTGAGGTCGTTCACCAGCTGGGGGATCTGGAGGAGACCCGGGGCACTGGCTGGAGAGACCCAGCAGAGACCCCGGCAAGGTGGAAGTGGACAAGGGCAGAACATCTCTGGGGCTTCTCCTGGGCAAGAGAGGCGGACTTACCTTGAGGAGGGACCGCAAGGTTTCAAATGCCTTGATTTGCAGGAAGTTCCCAATCAGCGGCAGAGGAGTGGGCCCAGGAGGCAGCCGTCCCCTGGCAGAGGACTTCCTCCGGACGAACAGCAAGGCGAGGTAGGAGAGATAGGCGACCAAGAAGAGGGAGACTGCGCTTGCCAGCTCCATGGTGTCAGCCTCTGCCCAGGTTCAGTCGGGTTGTGGACATTTAACTGGGGCTGGCTTTGGCACCGCTTCTGCGTTACGTAAGAGCAACAGGTAAATATATCAAATGGCAGACACTGGTGCCAAATCAGAAAGAAAAGTTGGGTTTTTTTGTAACACAATCGTATGATCTAGGCTCATCAGTCATATCTCTGCAGAGTGTTTATGCCATGCCTTATCTCCTCGCTTTTGTTTTTCCCCTGGTGCCCATGGGCAAGGCCTCATTCCTGCCCAGGGCCGGTCCTGGCACTGGAGGCCTCCCTCTGCCTCTCCACTCCAGGGCCACCAAGACTGCCAGAAGACTCGGGAGCCATCGCCTCCCAGCCCAGCTCAAGCAAGGGCACCCCGGGAGCCTCAGCAGCTGCACCCAGAGGCCTGGAGGGAGGGAGGCAGGGGCAGGCCTGGGGATGGGGACCGGCAGCTCCTTTGGGCAGTGCCAGGCCCACCAATGCAAGATTCCAGCCTTTCAGGCTCTGCCAGGGATCGCTTGATATTGCTTGATTGATTTAAAAGATTTATAAGGCCACCCATCTTAAACGTATCTCTGGGCAAGTCAACTTTAAGAGAACAGTTGTGCCCAGCCTGGTGGGAAAATCTGCATCTGGCCGAATTTAGCTGGCACAGCCGCAGGGAGAGGCAGCTGCTTCCAGGCCTTGACTTGGGGATCAGGAGCCCAGAGACTCCTCTTGACGACCAAATGGGCCTGGGCTGCTGCTCTCAGGGCTGGCATCTGGTGGGGCCTCCAACTGGCATTTGGGCTTTGCCACCGGGCACTCTGCAGGCCAGGAAGCTCATCTGCAGCCAAGAGCTGAAACTCTCCCGTGCACAAGAGGAGGACAAAGAAGCTGCCTCAGGGCACCCCCATCGGTGGGGCCAGAAGTGGGGCGAGGCTGAAGCAGGATTTATCCTTTAGACTCTCCTATGACAGAAATCAACGGGGAGACGGCCGCCCTCTCCCCCCCATAAGCCAGGCAGGACAAGGCCAGGCCTGCAGAAGGTGGATGTAGGAAATGCTGTGTCGGCATCTTCCTCGTGACTATATTTGCATCTTTAAGTATTCTCGGAAAAGACTTCAGCTAACAGGGAATGCCAGTTTTTACACCACATCTGGGAGAAGTGGGGTGGGGTGGGGCAATCACCCAGGGACTCTTGCAGCACACAAAGTTGTGCCATCTTCCTTTGCCCTCGGTGACCCAAAGTTTTCCCCATTTGTTTAGTGGAGTTTGGCCCCAGGCAGGGAGCCGAAGCCGGGCAAAGGTGATGAAAGTCCCCCGACCAAAGGAGGGAAAGGGCCCAGAGCAGAAGCCTCGGCAAAGCTGCCCCACCAATCACGGCTTGCCTTGCAGGATCCCATTGAGGGCCTTGCCTACCTGTCCCGAGGCAATTAGCACCACGACGACATCGGGCCTGAAAATGGGAGCAACGCCACCCCAGCAGGGCAGGCAGCCAGAGGGACTGGCCAGTCCGCTCGCCCACTGCCCCGCCTGTTCCAGGCGGCGCTGCTGTGGCAGTGGGGGGAGGCCGGGCTGGAGGCAGCCGAGCTGGGCAGGTGCCTGGGAGAAAGGGCAGGCCGGGCCACCTTGGACAGCGGCCCAAGTTGCCTTCTCTGCAACCCTCCAGAGAGTCCTTGTCCCCCCGAGTGACCCTGGGCAAAGAGCTGAGCCGGAGCGGGTGGGGAGATCTCCCCGCCCCGAAACAAAAACGAAGAGCCCCCCAGTCAGGAGCAGTGTACCTCTTGGGATGTGTCGCTGAGCAGCAACAGAAGGGGGCGGCAGGCCCTGGGCGTTGTGTCCCTCCACCCACTGCTGCAGCCAAAAGGGGGAGGGAGGGGGAACCCCCTGCAAATTCCTGGAGACGGGCCTCTGCACCCCAACAGCCAGCTGTCTCTCTCCTGCCTGGCCCCTTCTTTCCTTGGCAGGAAATGCCCAAAGTGCCTCCTGGCACCTTTGCATTGTATCCAAAGGCAAAATTTGGGCCCCTGAGCTTCAGAGGATGCCGAGAAGGAGCAGATCTCTCAAAAGCCTTTCCGTGAAATTGACCACTGGAGAAAGTGGGGCTGCCCGAAGGGGGGGGGCTGAAGGGCTGAGCCAGGGGTGCCCCGAGACTTTCCTCACCCCAAGGTGGTTTTGCTGCCCCAGCACCCGCTCACCCCACGGCACTCTCTTACCCACACAGGGCTATGGCAAAAGGCAAAGACTGAATCCCATCCAGAGTTTTGCTTTTTTTTAATTAACGCAACAGCAGAGCAGGCTCCAGGGCAGCCAACGTTCATCCGCAGAGAACCAGCTCCTTCAGGGCAGATTGTCCAGACTGCCCCTTCTCTGGGTGGGTCCCCCACTTCCGACTGTCCAAACTCTGCAGAGAAAGGCTCACGGCAGACACAAACAACGCCCAGCTCGGTGGCGGCTGCTTCCCAAACGGCTTCCACTCCTTCCTTCCTTCCTCTCCGTCTCGCTGGGCTCTGATCCTGCACCTGCTAAGCCCCTTCCTGGGGGCTCAAGAGAAACCAGCCCGCCCTGAGACCGAGACCCACACCGGGGAAAGAAGACGGCGAGGCCAGGCCAGGCAGGGCCTGGTGGCTGCTGGTAGCTCCTTTGGCAAGAGAGACGGTGCCCCTGTGCCCAGGGCACAACGTGAGCTCTTGGGGCAGCTAAGGCAAAGCTGGGGCCAAAGGGGGCTCTGGGCCAAGGGCCGGCCCAGAGCTGGACAGGAGCTCCCTGGGGCTGGGCAGGAGAGGGCCTGCGGGCTGAGCAGCTACATTCGGCTGCTGTCCCAAGTGGGTCAGAGTGCTGCCCCCCTTCCTGGGCCAGGGGGCTGCCGAGCGGCCGACGGCATCCTGGAGGCGAGCCCATGCCCGGGAGTCACTGCTCCGGACGGCCTCGCACAGCAGCTGGGCCTGTTCCCGCAGCTGGGCCAGCTCCCGCTGGGTGCTGCTGTTCTGGCGGAGCAGCTCCTTGGTCCGTAGCGTGATGGCCAGCAGCCCTGACCTGCGCAGGATCTCCACCGTGTTGTGCAGGCGATGCTGCCTCGCCAGGCTGTGCCCCCCCAGCCTCCTGGCGCTCTTGATAACCATTCTGCCCCCAGCAGGGGATAATCCAGGACAGGAAGGCAGGGTGGGCCGAGCAGGCACCTCCGGGCTCCCAAGGGCAGGAGTCTGTGGGCTGGCAGGCGACTCTTCTGGAGGTTTCTCGCAGCCGTCCTTTGGGGCAGGCGGGTCTGGAGGTGCCCGGGCCTCCGCCACGCAGAACCGCTTGTGCCTGCTGGGCTCTCCCGCTGGCCTGGGCGCTTCCTCGGCCTGCCGGCCTGGGTGAGGAGCGATTCTGGGGTAAGCGCCGAGGGTGGGGAAGTGGATCTCCTTGGCAGAGGGCTTCTGGCTGGGGAGCATGGGCTTCAGAGAGGCCATGGGCTCCTGGAGGAGGAGGAGGTGGGCTGCAGAGCTGTAGTTACTCTCCAGGGGGTGCTGGTTGCTCCAGGCCAAGAAGGGGGCTGTGGGGGACACTCCCAGGGTCTGCAAGAGAGCAAGAGGGGCAGGGGGTCAGAAGGGGGGCTTCCCTGGGCTGGGTGCATCCCATTCCTGCAGGCAAGGGGAGCCCACCCCCCAATCGACCGGGCACACTTTCGGACAGGGTGCCGGGCAGGCAGGAGGTGTGACCAGGCTGGGGCAGCCAGGCCGGGGGAACGGGACTGGCCAGCAACACAGGGGGCTACCTGTTTGGGAATCATGTTCTTGATGAAGTAGAAAGGCGCCAGCGCAGCAGGAAAGGTGCCGCCCAGGAGCCCCCCCTTCGCGTTCTGCAACTCCGCCGGCCCCGGGGGCAAGGAAGAGGCGGTCTGGTCCTCGGTATCCGTCTGCTCAATGGCGCTCAGGGACTCCGAGCTCCAGTCTGTGCAGAGAGGAGGGGGGAAGCGGGTCAGGCCAGCGAGAGGGCAGGCTGGGTGGCTGCTGCCACGAGTGCTCCTGACCATGGAACCCCCTGGTGGCTGCCAGTCCCACGCCGTGAGGGGCAACCTTGCACCAGTTCCCCCCGGACCATATGGGTCGCCCTTCTACTCCCAGCGAGAAGCCCACCGTCCTCCCCCTCCTGCCCCGTTCACCTCCATCCAGCACCCCCCGCCAATCGACTCCCCACCCCTGGTTCAGGCAGAGACCCTCCCCCAGCAACGGAGTTGTTATATAGCAAGAACCCCGGCGAGGGTCTATACCTGAAAATCCGGAGTCCTTTTCTCCTTCACTCACTGGGCAGCTGGGCTTGGGGGGGGCATTATGGGGGGCCCTTTCCATCTTCTCAGGCTGCCCCAAATGGCCCCCCCACTTTGAACCTGGCCTGGCCAACAGGCTCCTCTCCTCCTTTGCAGGCCAGGAACGGGAGGCCGAGGGCTCATTCGAAGGCATGACTGCGCCTCTCAGTTCTGTAAGGGGGGCAAAAATGGGGGTGGGAAAGACACGGAAGACTCAGGAAACCCCACGAAGCAGAAGCCCTAGCCTGCCAAACATGGCAACCGGCAGCATCTGGAAGGCTCCAGGTCCCCCTGAGCCCCTCCTGAGCCATCGAGCCCCTGCCGGGGGCGCCTGGGCCAAGGGCTGCTCCCGCGGGGAGGCTTCGTCGGAAGGGCCCCCCGGGCCACCTTCAGCCCTCGCCCGCACAGCCGCCCGGCCCCGCGACCCTCGCGCTCCGCCCAGAGACCCCCGGCCGAGGGTGGGCGCCCCCCCCCGGCTGCCCCGCAGAGGAGCCCCTGCTTGGGGGGCACTCCCGCAGAGCAGCCCCCGCCTCGAAGGGCGTCTGGGAAGGCGGGGCGGAGGCCAGAGAACGCGGCTCTAGTCCTCGTGGAGGTCGTCGGGGATTGGGGTCGCGCAGCCCCTACCTGCTCGTTTCGCGAAGCAAGCAGCGCGCGAGCACGCCCTCCACTTGACCGGCAGCCGCAGCGGCCAATAGGCTGCTCCCTCGTCCCGCAGGGGGCGGGCGCGGGAGCCACGTGCGGAACGAGGCGCCTGGTCTGCGGCCACGTGAAGGGCGGGCCCAGCGCAGGACTCGTGCGGGGGCGGAGCCAAAGGTGCCTCTGGTGGGGCTGCCTCATTTCCCAATGGCCCTTTCGTGGGCTTTTGGCTCCGCCTCCCGGGCCCCGAGGCTGCTCCCGGCCAAGCCAGGCGGACGAGGGGCGGGGCGGCAGCGCCATTTGAGGGTCAGTTCGGGATTGTTGTGAGCCGCCAGAGCTACCGCCTCACCCGGCGGAAGGACTAGCGAGGTCCCGCGGCTAGAGCGGCGAAGCGGCTGTCTAAGAAGTTCCGGGTTCGGAGCCGCTTCCCGCCCAGGCGCAGGAACCTTTCTGTCCCGCCGGCGGGGAACCATAGAGTTCGGATCGCCAGAGCGCCGCCGCGGAAATCATGAGCTCCGAGCCCGCCTCTCAGCGACCGGTAATAAGTTGCCGGTTCCGAGATGGTGCGCATGCGCCAGACAGGGAGCGCCCTGATTGGTCCCGCAACGGGACGCGGGTCGGCGGCGCCTCCGCAAAAGCAGGCGGAAATCCTACCGGTGAAGCTCGCCCGTGCGGGAGGGCGGTTCCTGCCCGGAGCCAGGCCTCTGCCCCCTTCTCTGCCCCACCGGAAGGGGGTCTGGGGCGCGCCACCATACAAGGGCAGCCCCGGACAGCGCGGTTGTCATCCGGCAGGTGCAGAGGCCGCGAGACGGGCGGAGAGCCGATTCAAGAAATAAGTGAAAATCCGCCCGCCTGAGGGAGGTCTGGCAGCTGCCCCCCTGCGCGCCCCGTCCTGGCTGGGCAGCTCGCAGAGCCCGCCGGGAAGAGGAGGAGGAGGAGGAGCGGCCCATGGAGCCCAAGCAGGCCAGGAGGTTCGCCCTGAGGACGCCGGGGGAGGAGGAGGAGGAGGAAGCGGCAGCCGCGGTGAGCGCCCCTGCCTCCGCTCCAGGCAGCGGTCAGGCGGGGAGCAGCCCCGGGAGGAGCCGGACGCTTTAGGGCTGAACGCCCCCTCCCTCCCTCCCTCCCTCCCGGACGGGGCCAGGCTGGCGGAGGGGCATTCGGGGGGCCCTCCAGCCCTTGGGGAGGGGGCTGCTCTGGGCCCCGCCGGGGAGAGAGTTTTCAGAACTGAGCGCAGAGGCAGGGAGAGGGAGGCCAGTTCCGAACGGCAGCTTTGCCGGTTGAAACACGGGAGCCGTTTGTGCCAGGCGCAGGGGACCCTCCTCCGTTCCCCGGGGAGAAGGCACGGGGCTTGCTCCTTTTCTGGAAGATCTCACAGCAGCGCAAGGGGAAGCCTCTGGCGACAGTTACACGCCTTCTGCAAATTCTCTCTTGTTGGAGGCTAATTCCCCGCTTGCCCCTCTCCTCTCCGGCTCCTCTCCTCCCACTCCCCTCTCTGCCCCCAGCAACCTCCTCCTCGAGTTTTGCTGAGTGATCCGTGAATCTCTTTGCAGATTCCTTTTCCTTGACTCGGTGATTTGGGCCCTTAATGTGTACCCAGAAAGTCTGCAGAGGAGTCTCTCTGAGGGGCTGCCATCTCTCCTTTCAGCAACTGAAATGGATCCTTTGCCCTCTCGTTCCCAGGTGAAGCCTCTCTTCAAACCCGCTTCAGCAGCCAGAGCCGCAACTGTCCCTGAGCCCTCAGTTGCGCCCAGGGGGGCATCCTACGCAGACTACATCGTTGGGCAAGCCGTCGCCTCCTCTTCCTCCTGCACTGCTGCTCAGCTGAAACCCACCTTTGCTGCTCCTGCTGCATCGGCCAGGACCATCTTGGAAGAAGCCCCTCTGCAGAACCAGGACGAGAGTGCTGTGCCCCCCAAAAGCACCGCGGAAGACAAAGGCTCCCCCTTGAAGCCCACAGCCCCCAAAGCAGGGGCCAAGCACAACACTATTATCGTCAGTCCCCGGCAGGTGAGATGAAGCAGGCAGGCCAGCAGGGGACATTCCTGGTCAGCTTCCCCATTTTGACAGCCTGGCTATTGCGAGGCCAGTCTTTCAAGGCAAGTGTGGCCAGTGCTCAGGGACAGCTGTCCAGGAAGGTGGCAGGACTGGGCGCTGCTATTCTTCACATCCAGCGCAGACCACTTAGAAGATCAGCTTTCCCCACCCTGGGAACTGCTCAGATGTCAGGATTCCCCAAACACCCTAGGTGCTCCTGAGAATTCTGGGAACTGGCCTTTCTCTCTAACTGGCCCGGCCTCTCACCAGCTCCCGTCCCTTCCTGTTCCTTCAGCAGAAGGCAAGGCCTTTCTCCACACCCTGATAGAATACCTCCACTTTCTTCAGGAGGTCACACATACTGCTGGTGCTTTTGGAGCCCAGTTACAGCGTCTCGTCTCGCCTCATAGAAGTGGGCTGCCTGCCTCCTTCTGTGACCACAGGCAGGTGGGAAATCCTCCCCAGTGACAGTGGACTCTTTTCTGCCCTCAGAGGGGGAACCCCATTCTGAAGTTTGTCCGCAACGTGCCTTGGGAATTTGGTGAAGTTGTCCCAGATTATGTGTTGGGCCAGAGCACATGTGCCCTTTTCCTGAGGTAAGCAGAGGAAGCTCAGATTGACTTCCGCCACAAGCTATTCAGGTAGCTGCTTTGGGCTCAAATCCCGCGCCAGGGAAACTGTTTTTATAATTAACTGTAAATGTACTTGCATGTATAGTAATATCAGTTTTGAATGCAAGCTTTGCTAGTTGAAACACAGGAGTGCTTTTTGCCAGAAGTAGGGGACCCACGTCTGTTCGCAGTTGAAAAGGAATTGGGCTTATTCCTTTTCTGAAAAAAATCACACAGTACCGCAAGGGAAACCATCTGACATGAGTTAAGCAAAAAAAATTCTGCAAATTCTTTTTCAGGTCCAAAATGCTGTTTCCCCCTTGGTACAGTATAAGCAGAATGGAGCATTTAAAATTGTTGCTAAACTTCCCACGATAAGAGTTGGTGAAATGTACAGCCTGAAAGGCAACAGCCCATTTTAGCCACACGGAGATAAAGATTTAGGATGCATATTGCAGAATCCAATGCAGATCAGAATCAGGCCCCTTTTTTCAATCATTATTGCAACATTATTGAAGTTTGATAAAACCAAATCTTGATAGCTGCTTCCTCTTTGAAAAAGACAAACTCCATTCTGACGATTCTCTTTGTAGTCTCCGGTACCACAACCTGAATCCAAATTACATCCATGAGCGGCTGCGTAACTTGGGGAAGACGTACCAGCTGCAGGTGCTCCTGCTTCAGGTTGACGTGGTGAGATATAGCCCCCCCCAACCACCACCCCCGATGTCACCTTCCTGCTTTGGGCAGCCAATTCCATGGATTTCCTTGCCCCATGTTCCTTTGCTAGCCCAGTGTCCACTAACAAACTCAGGCCCACGATGCTTCTGTTCATTCTCGGTGGCTGCTGAGAGTTTGGCAGCTGTCAGGGAGATGCTGGAACGCATGGCCCTTTCCTGCCTTTCAAGGCTGGCTACCTTAACTGCAGTTCCTCTCGGCTCTTTCAGAAAGACCCCCACCAGGCAGTCAAGGAGCTGGCCAAGATCTGCATCCTTGCTGACTGCACCCTCATCCTGGCTTGGAGGTGAGACCCCAACGCTGGGCGGGTGGGAGAGACCTGGCTATGGAAGACCCCTGCAAGCAAGTTGAGACAAACAGGAATAACCTCATAAACGCAGAGCAGAGAGGCAGGTCTCATGAGCTTCCTGCAATGGCTTTCTGATCCTGTCCCACCCTTAGTCCAGAAGAAGCCGGACGTTACTTGGAGACGTACAAGGCCTACGAGCAGAAGCCAGCTGACCTGCTGAAGGAGAAAGTGGAGCAAGACTATCTCTCGCGGGTACGGCCATTTCCTTTGGCTGGGGAGGGAGGAGGGCAGAGCCTGACTGGGGCACGCCCTGGACCCCAGCCACGAGCTGCCAGTTGCCTTGCCTAGCTTTTTCCTTAAGCAGCAGACCAGAGTTTCTGCTGAACGTGGCCTGGTGCTGCAGCTGCTTTGTTCTCTCCCAGGTGACCGACTGCCTGACCAGCGTCAAATCCGTGAACAAAACAGACACCCTGAGCCTGCTGTCCACATTTGGAGTGAGCGAGCCAGTTCTCTGCTGGGGGTGGGCTGGGAGGATTTGGTGCTTTGAGAGCAGCACTCCCCAGCAATGTGCAAGCCAGAAGGGGTCATCTGTGACTCCCCCCTCCCCCCAGGCTGTTGAACTCCACTTCCCATCAGCCCTAGCCAATGTAGCAAAAGTGGGAGGGATGGGACTTGCAGTTCAGCAATATTTGCAGAGCTACCTCGTCCTTTGCGGTCAAGCCTTCCCCTTCACTCCCAGGTGCGGGCTGATGGATATGCATTCGCTTCCTACTCAGCTTCCGCTGGGTCTGATGCCTGCTAATGCACTGGGATCATTCCGCTAAGTCCCTCTGCCCTTACCTTGCAGTCACTGGCCAATATTGTCCAGGCGTCCAAGGAGGATCTTTCCCTGTGTCCTGGCGTTGGGCCTCAAAAGGTGAGTGGAGGCTGTTGCCTCAAGCCCCCCAACCCATCGGTTGGCACAGTGGAAGGGAAGCCCCTCCCCCTCCCAGTCAGCTGAGGGCGCAAGCAGCATCCCTCAGTTGCTGCCTTAACCTCCCCCCCCCCAGAAAGGAGACCAAGCTGGCAGAGGGGAGGTGCGGCTATTTCACTTTGGGAAGCCAAACACAACGGTAGCCCAGCAATAATATTGCTGGACATCCTGCAGTTTGAGTCCCAACAGGAAGGTTTTCAGTGGGGAACACCTAGAAAGGCCAGGCTTTCAAAGTTTGGATGTCTGAAAGCATCTGGACTAGCTTTTTTTTTTTTTTTTTTTATCTTCACTCGTACGTCTTCTTTCCAGGCCAAGAGACTCTTTGACATCCTTCACGAACCATTTCTGAAGGTGCCCAAATGAGGAGGGGGCTCAAGACGATGGGCCAGGATGATTCACAATCATCTCTGAAACGACCAGTTTCCAATCCCCTTCCTCCCTCAAAGCTGCAGGAAGAACAACAGAGCAACACAACTCCCTCTCGGAGGAGAAATGAAGCCCCTTATTTTGCTATGTGGACATTGCTTAACAGAACAGGCAATAAAACACCGAAAAACAAGTAATGCAGCCACTCATTTTTAAGGGGAGAAATGGCAGGGAACGCTGGCCTTCAGAGTTCCTGGATTTATTTGGAAGGGCAAACAGAGCATGAACAAAACGCTTAAAAAGGCTGTTAAGTTCCTGCTGCAAAGAGTCCAGCCTGGTCCTCCCCCTCCCTCCTCCTCTTCTTTTTGGCTCTGGGCTTTGGGGCCTCCCCATTAGTTTGCAATGGCTCTTGCCCCAGAGGGACGGCCCAGTCCTGCACGGTGGACTCCAAGAGCTGCTGTGTTTCTGTCCCCTGTTCCTGCAGAGGCTCCTTGTCCATTTTCCCCTTCTTTTTCTTTTTGCAGGCCAGGAGTTCCCCAGCAGGGCCCCCTCTGGCTGACCCCAGACCCCCTTCTGGAAGGCTTCCCAGACAGCCGATGTCCTCCGGCTCCTCCTTGAGGGCTGAAACGGCCCACAGCTCCTCCGCCACCCTCTCTCGGCTCTTCTTTTTCTTCTTCTTCTTCTTGCAGCTGAAGAGTTCCTCAGCCGGGTCCTCTGTGATGGCCCCCAGACTCTCTTCTGCAAGGCTCCCCAGAGAGGGGACGTCCCCCAACTCCTCTTTAAGAGCCGTAATGCCCCACAGCCCCTCTGCCCCCTTTCCTGGGCTCTGCTTGATGTAGCCAGGGAATTCTCTACCTGGTTCCTCTCTGGGTGACCCCAGACCCTCTCCCAGAAGGCTCCCTAGGCAGGGGACGTCCCCCGGCTCCTCCTTGATGGCAAGTACGCCCCACAGCCCCTCTGCCCCCTTCTCCCGGCTTCTCTTTTTCTTCTTTTTGCAGCTATGGAGTTCCCCAGCAGGGTCCTCTCCGACGGCCCCCAGACCCTCTTCCAGGGGGCTTCCCAGACAGGAGACGTCCACCGGCTCCTCCTTGATGGCAGGGATGCCCCACAGCCCCTCCGCCCCCGCCCCTTGCGTGCTCTTCCTTCTCTTCTTGGCTTTGCATCCGCCCAGCGCTGGCTCTCCTCCTCCGCAATCGCCCAGGCCTCCCTCCGGCTCTCGGCTCCCTCTGGGCAAGCAGGGGTCCCGTTCAGGCCGCCAGGACCTTGAATTGGGGTCCGGCGACCCCTCAGTCTCCCGGTTGCTCTTCCGCTTCTTCTCTTTCTTCCTGCCTCTCCTCCTCTCCGGCTCTTCCTCCCGTCCTGGCCAGGCACCCTCCTCCAAGGGGCCCGTCGGCCGCCCGCCAAACGCCGGGAGCGTGGCCGGCTCCGTTGCCTCCGCCTCCTCCGCCTTCAGGAGGCGCCGCTTGTTCCCAGCGCTCGCCGGCTCTCGCAGCAGCCCCTCGGCAGGCTCCGTGGAGCCCCCCAGAAGCGGCTCGGGCCCTTCCGGCCGCCAGAGTCCCTGCGCCACAGGCAGCAGCGGCCGTTTCTTGCCCCTCTTCCGGGCGGCTCCCCCTGCCGCTTCCGAGGGAGGGCGAGCGTCCCTGAGCCGGGCCCCAAAGGGGAGGAAGCGCTGCTTGAGCCCTCCCGGCACCCGGGGCGCCGGCCTCTCCGCCACCGGGAAGAGGGGCCGGGCGGCTCCGGGCTCTCCGTAGCGCTCCTGGATCCTCAGGCAGCCGCTGAACGGCTGGGCGCAGGCGAGGCCATCCGGCCGGCCGGCGGCAACCAGCAGGCGGGCGCCGCTCTCCTCCCGGCTCCCGTGGAGGCTGTAGACCCTCTGGCTGCCGTCGGGCTGCGGAGCCCTCAGAAGGCGGGAGCCCAGCAGCGTCAGGCTGCGGCCGTCGAGGCTGGAGGGAGCAGAGGCCGCGTCAGGCTGCGCCCGGGGAGGAGCCGTGCCGGCCCTTCGCCCAGCCCCGCGCCGGGACCCTCGGGCAGCCAGGCCTGCCTCCCGCAGCGCCTCCCCTCCTTGGCGTCCCGGGCAGGAGCGGAGCCCGGAGCGCCCCCCCCGCCCCGCGCCCCCTCACCTCTCCGGGCGGAAGTCGGCGGGCCCCCTGATGAGCAGCAGCCGCGTGCCGGGCGCCGCCAGGCTCTCCGCGCAGAGGGCGGCCCCGGGGGCGAAGTGCCGCGCGCAGAACTCCTCCGGGCACTGGAAGCGGGCGGGCCCTGCGGGAAGCAACGGCGCTTTCACGGGGGCTCCGGCAGCCCCTCCCGCCCCGCGCTGCCCAGCAGACTCCGGGCCCGATCCCCCCCCGATCGCCCCCCGACGCTCACCCGCCGCCGCCGCCTCCCCGCCGGGCGCCCCCATCTCTCGAGGGCCACGTGCGGCGCCTGCGCAGCGCCTTCCGGGAGACTCCGTGTTCGGAGGCCTCGCGTGCGCCTGCGCCGTCATGGCCCCGCCCCCCCCCTACGAGGTTGGTATCGTTCGTCCCTTAAAGCGACTGGAGACCTTCGGGGAGATTGGCGCCCCCTCCCGTCGCCCCGACTCTGGGCAGCCCCAGGCCGGGAGGGGTTCACTGGTCAGACTGCAGGTCCCATCATCCCAGGGCCCTGCCCAGTGGCGCGGCTGATGGGACTGGTAGTTTAGGCCTGGCATCCCCCGCATGTTGGCTGCATTCTGGAGGCGAGCAAACTGGCTGCTGTCTCGGCGGTGCCTGATGGGCACGGCGATCCAATCCGGAGTGAAGCCTGCTTAGCCTCTGCTGGCCGCGTGCAGCGCGCCGTCTTGCCGCTGGGTGTCGCTATTGCAGCGGCGTTGCCGCCCCGGGAGCCCGGCGGCGGAAGATCCTTGCAGCAACCGCTTCCCGGGAAGAGATGGCCCGGCTTTGGCAGGCTTGGCGGGTGAATGCAGGGCCGCCTGGCTCTGAGGCCGGGCCTGGGGTCAAGTGAGAGGGGCAGGAGCAAGGAGACCCGCCGCCTCTCCGCCGCGGCCAGAGGAGGAAGCCCTGCCCGGGAGGAGAGCGCCGGCCAGCTCCTCTAGGCTAGCCGTGGGGCGACGGCGATGGGCGGGGAGGCCGCCAGAGCCCGGGAAGGAAAGTGGAGGGCAGCCGGAGGGGCCGCTGTGCTCTGTCGCTAACGGGACCCCCGGCCCAGAAGCGCCTGGGCAGCGCCCGCAGCTGTCGGAGCCGGAGGGAGGGAGGAAGGTGCCCCAGATTGTGGTGCTTGGCCAGGAGGCCAGGCTGGGGGACTCCCTCCAGATGGCCCTGGGGAAACTGAGGCAAAAGACAAGCAGGCGGCCATTTGCAGATTCTGCTGGTCAACAGATCTCACCTCCACTCCAAATCCTAGCCCTGCCCTGCCCTGCCCGCCCTGCCCGCGCCAAAAAGCAGAGCCTGCAGAAGGTGACCCCAGGAAAGGGTGGCCGAAATGGGTCTGCAAGGCTCACAGCCCGGGGGACAGGCGGCGAAGGCTCAGGCCTCGCCTTCCTGTCCTCTGGGGCCCACAGACAGACAGCCCCCCCCCCCACACTGACGTCAGCCGTGGGTTCCTCCGCAGCCCCTTTCCCTCTTGGCCAGGAAGGGCTTATTCCTGTCCTCAAGGCCCTGGCTTGTGCTTGGGAAGCCTCTCGCGGCTCCTTCCCAAGGAGGACTCCCCAGCGGGCGGCTGAAAATAGCCTCCCTTCCTCCGTCCGCCCTTTGGGGCTGCGGGCAGGGTGAGACCCGCTGGGACCCCCTCCTCCCTCGTGAGTGCGGCAGCTCCACTTCCAGCCTCCCAAGAGCTGACCCGGTTGGTGTTGGGGGGGTGGGGGGTGGTCCACCTTCTTGTTTTCCGCCCTGGCCAAAGTTGCTCCTGAGAGAATCCTACTTGAATCCCAGCCTGCCCTGCTTGCTTGACCTCAGCAGTGTCAAAGGCAGCCAGCCTCTCCGAGCCCAGACTTCATTTGGCCCCTGTGACTAAGAGCCATTTTTAAAACTCTTTTTCTTCCAAAAATGTGCCTGCCCTCCTGGGGAAGGGATTTCTGCTAAAGAGGCAGCAGGCGAGGAGCAGCCCCTTAGAAAGGAAGCAGCCATGTGTTGCCCATTCCTCCCCAGCCTGCAAGAACTCCGGGGTCTTCATCGGGGTACAGAGGTGCCCACCGCTTGCAGCCTCCGGTGGCTGAAGGGACAAACTGAAAAAGACCTTTGGGCTGGTCAGCTGCAGGCGAGATTCGCTTGCAAGCTGCCTTCAGACCTCTAGGACCCCCTGAGTTGGCTGCATTTTCCAACCAAAAAGTTATTTTCCTCCTCTTAGGGCCTGGCATGTCTTTGCAAGCCCCCCCCCCTCATTTAGCATTTACCGGGGGAGGGGGCGTTCTTGGTCCTGGACCCAGAGGCTGGGTTGAAAAATGCCGAAGGGGGCTTTATGATTGGCGTAAGAAGAGTGGCTTATTATGACTAAAGGCTATTCGCTTCCCCCAACCCCTCCCACTTCCCACTGGAGACCTGAGGGGCTTCCTAGAATTGCATCCTGCTCCTGCAAGGACTGTGAGGGGGGGGGTTTGTTAATTTGAGCCAGGGCCCCGTGCCATAAAGGGATCAGAGCAGGAACAGGCCCAGCCCTACCTCACCTTCAGGCTTCAGAGGTGCCAGGAGGGAGCCTGGCTGCTTCTCCCACCCACCCCCCACCTCTGGCAGAGCTGGTCCTATTTCACCACTCAGGCAGGCAGGCAGGCAGGCAGGGCTGTTTTGAAGGAAGTGCGCTCCAAAGAAGTGGGGGCTTTTCCTGAGCTTTCCACATTGTAAACATCCCCCTGACCCCTCACCCGTTCGCTCCCTTCTGGCCCTGTCCTGGGGAAGCCTTTGAGAGGACAGGGAAAATCGGGGGGGGGAGGGGCTTCCGTTCCCCAGGCACTGCCCTCTGGCCTGGGTGGGCGAGCCATGCCCAGGTCCTACTCTTGCCCCCCCGCCCCCCGTTTCTCTTGCACAGCAGGAATTGTCTTGGTCCCCAAAAGAGGCGAGTGGGGAGCGGCACTCTTGGGGGTTCCTGGGTGGGGAGGCAACAGGCGTGCAGGAGAAGGGGGGAGGTGGGCTTGTGGCAGCCCAAAGGCTTCTGCAGAAACCAGCCCCTGCCTGGCTCAACCCAGTGAGGGGCTGGGCCCCAAGACCCACGGTGGCTGGATGGAGCAGGGCCCAGGGGGCTCTTTTCCCAAGGTCAGCGGCCCCATCCTCTCCCCCCCCCGCCCTCCGCCCAGCCTGCATCCGTTCTGGGATGTTTCCAGTGTAGGATCCAGGCTGCCAAAAAGGAGGACAGCCAAGCCCAGAGACAGGCTTGATGAGTTAAGTCCTTGTCGAAGTGGGAAGTGTCGGGAAGGAAAACTGTTTTTCACAGTGTTTTTCTTCAGGGGGAGGGAGCGGGGGCATTCCTGGAAGCCTCTCGCTCTTGCTGCTGCTGCTGCTGCTTTGCCTGCGAAGCCCAGCCCGGCCGGCATGTTCCCTGGAGGCCGCCGGGCTGTCCGAGAGGCCGGCTATTCTTCAGCCATCAGGAAAGTTTACATCTCGCAGGATAAATGAGTGGCGTTTCCCGCTCTGTTTACAGCCAGGGACGGGTGGCTGGACAGGTCAGGGCAGGAGCAGGATTGATGGGGACGCTGCGTGACTGCAGCTGGCCCTGGGGGGACACTTTGTCTCTCGGCGCGGATCCGGACGCCTGCGGGGAGGGGAGGTCGAGAGCTCGGACACAGTGCGCCATTCCAAGGTGGCCCTGCCCTCCTCCCTCCGCCTGGATTGCAGCACACTGCACACTGCACACCCTCCAGAGCAGCCAACACCTGCAACAACACCTGTCTGATGACTATTTTAACTCTTTAATTTTAAATTTTGTAGGCCATTCATCTATGCATCTTACAATATATTAGACTCACCGGATTTAAAAATTCAAATAAAAATCCAAATACATAACGAAATAAGCACATTAATCAATACAAGAAAGTAAAGAACTAAACCAGCAGGCAAAGGAGTTAAGTGTCTTTATGCAGCATATACATTTTGAATTAAGATATATCAAAAAGCTTTAGAAAATAGACCAGCCTTTGCCCAAGGCCAAAAAGAAATTGCAAACATTTTTTCGTCATTCGAGGGCTGGCAGAAATAAAATGGGTGACAGCGCAGCTATCAAGGAGAGGAAGAAGAGACCGCAACTTGTTATTGGAAGGGCCTGCGGATCCCTCCTCCTGGGCTTAGTCTGCAGACCTGGGGTCTCCTGGTGGTCTCGCATCCCAGTAGGAGGCCCAACTTTCCATGGGATCTTTTCCAAGGTCAGCCTAGGTCCAAACGTTAAAAGGGAAAACAGGCCAACAGCAATAGCTACTAATTGGGGTACCCAGCGCCCAGCACGGTGGCCCGGGATCTGCCCCCCCCCGGTGCCCAGTTGAGCCAGCCTGAGGAAGGTGGCGGTGGGGTCTCCCGAGCTGGTGGGAAGGGAGGAGGTGAAGCTAGTTTGCGATGGGGGCTGGAAATGGTGATGTGCTGCTGGTTTCCTCTCAGGGCCCCCACTTCAGATAGGGTGGAGGAGGGGAGAAATGGGGGTGGGGGTGTTGCAGAAACCAAACTATGATGAGGTGCAAACAGTTCTTCATCCTCCAGCTCGGCCAGGGTGAAGGAGCCGATCCCAGGTCTGCTGCTAGATCAAGGGTATCATCCCTGTATCCGTATGCAGATGTCCCCATACGGTATGGGATCTCCTGCTATAGGCGGGGTTGGACTAGAAGACCTCCAAGGTCCCTTCCAACCCTATTGCTCTATGTCAGGGGTCTCCAGACTTGGCAACTTTAAGACTTGTGGACTTGATTTCTGGGAATTGCACCCGTCATAAAGTTGCCACGTCTGGAGAGGCCTGTTCGATGTACTCAGAGCCTCCTAGATCTGGAGGAGGAGGAGGAGGAGCCCGTGTGCTCCTTTCCTCTGGGCATCCCAACTCCCCCCCTCCCCTGCCAGCAGTTTACCCCACCCCGGTTTGATGTGGTTCCAAGGCTGAATCAGGTTGTTTCCTGGGTCTCTCTGGGCACAGCTCACTTTGCTTCTTCCCTCGGTCTCCCAGGCTTGCAGGGACCCCTTCTTGGCGCAAGACTCGCTGAGCCCTGAAATGTTCCTGGCTGAGGAGCATCGGGGTTTCAGATCCACCCGTTGGTTATAAGGGTGGGGGTCCCTCCAGGGGGTCCCTTCCCCTGGTCTAAGAGTGGATGGATTTGTCCCCCAGCCCCCATTCTTTCCCCCCTCCCTGGCAATCGCCCCCAAATCCAGCCTGCCTGGACCAGTGGCCTTTCGCCACGGCCCCCCAGGTGGCTCGAAGGGAGGCTGCTGCCCGTCCGGCTCTCGGCCGTCATGTCCAGCAGGCAGCTGCGCCCCTCGCCAGGGCGAGCATCATGAGGCAAGCTGGCTTCTTTGGAAAGAGCCGGCTAGCCCTCCGGCCAGAACCTCAGGGCCGAGAACGTCCAGTTGGGGCTGAGCAAGGGTCCTCACAGCTGAGCTTCCGCCCCCTTCTCTCTCGGGCCCCTCCTCTGTCGCTGCAGCCGGGGGGGTCTCCGGCGCACCCGGGAGAGGCAGGTGAGCCCAAAGTGCGAGAGGCGGTGCAGCTGGAGGCGGACGCAGAAGACCTCGCTGGTGGGAATCTCGGAGAAGAAGGCCCGGTCTTGGCAGACGTCCCTCTCGGCCCCCGTCAGCTCCAGGCTCTCCAGCACCCCCAGGATGAGCTGCCGCTGGGCTTGGCTCTGCAGGCCCCGAACGTCCAGCAGGGCCGCCAGGTGCTTCTTTCTGGGGGGAGGGAAGAAGGGGACGGCTAGGAAGAGGGAGCCAGAAGGGAATTTGGCCGTCCCCGGGGACGGCGAAGGTGGCTAGGCCGCGTGGCTTCCCAAGGGACCGGGGCTTGCGGGGGCGGCAGTTCCCATACAAGGAATGGAGAGGGAGTACAGGCAATCCTCCACTTACGACCACAATTGAGCCCCAAATTTTTTGTTCTCAAGTGAGACATTTGCTAAGTGAGTTTTGGCCCACTTTACGACTTTTCTTGCCACAGTTGTTAAGTGAATGGCTGTAGTTGATAAGCTAGTGACGTGATGGTTAAGTGGATCCGTCTTCCCTAGAGGCTTTGCTGGTCAAAAGGTGGCAAAAGGGGATCACATGACCCGGGGACACTGCAACCGTCATAAATGTGAGTCAGTTGCCAAGCGTCCTGGGGATGATCACAGCAAAGGTCGTAACTGTGAAAACAGTCATAAATCACTTTTTGCAGGGCTGTTGTAACTTTGACCGGAGGTACTAAGTCAAGAACTCCCTGGATGTGGCTGAAAATACTTGGCAGCTAAGGCTACAGCGGGGGGGGGGGGGGGGGAAATGGCAGCAATTATGGTGAGGGGCTTTGCCCCACCGATCCACATCAGGCTGAGGCACTGCTGGCTGGGAGTGGAGAAGAAGGGAAACGGGAGCCGTGGCCCCAAATGCTCATGGGGCCCCCAGGAGCAGCACAGCCAGAAAGAGGCCCCTGGCTGCAGGCAGCGGGTTCAGAAGGCCCCCGGGCCCTTTCAAGCCATCCCTGCTTGAGGAACGAAATGGGGGGGGGAGGAATAGCAAACCCCTCTCGTGACATAGGAGAAAACCCTCAAACTCCCCCGGGGAGCCCAGGCTCCAGGTGCAGCCGACCCCCCAGGACCCTCAAATGCTGGATGGGAGCCTATTCTGGGGGTGACTGGGCTTCCCAGGGGGGAGGGGTAGTTTGGAAATCTTTCGTGCCTGAGGACCGAGTTGGGGACACACACACACACACACACACACACACAGCCTGGGGTGAGAGCGCGCAGGAGCCTCCCAGCTCCGCTGTTCCGCGAAAGAGTTTATTTAAAGCCCTGCAGCTTCGGATGCTCGTTAACCTCAGGAAGCTGGCACAGGGCCACACAATCAGCCAGGCCCCGAACCCCGAGGGTGGGGCGGCAGAGGGAGCAGAGCAGCCGCCGCCACAGGGTTAACGGCTCCTGGGGGGCTCTCGGCATCGGGGGTCTGTGGCACAGGGGGAGGGGAAGTTGCAGCCCCCAGCCCCAGCCCCCCAGACCTTTCAGGGAGTCTGGCTTGGCCCGGGGGACCCCCTCCATCTCACAGGCTCCACCCAAGCCGGCGACCACTGAGCGGGGCTGATAGCACGGCTCCCCTTCCCTATTTTTAGGAGGGCCCCTCCGCTCCTCCAAGGCACCCAGCCAGGGCAGCTTAAGAGGGGTGCTGGCATCCTGTGCTCAGGTGGGCAGGCAGGCACGCTCTTGCCCCCCCCCGCAGGCTGGGCACCGCAGTGGGTGAATCCCCACTTTCCCAAGGGATGGCAACCGGCACAGATTGGGCACCGAGGCGGCTGGTCGGCGGCCCTGGGCCAGCAGCGCCTGCCAAAAGATTCTCTCCCGAAGACGTGCCAACGGACCCTTCGCGCCTCAGGGGAGCTTCCGGGCACCCTGGCAGAGCCGGTGTGGTTCTTGTCCTGCTGCCAGCCCCAAATGGCAGTCTGGCAGGAAATGGCCACCAAACTCTGCTTCCTGTCTGAAGCTCGGCCACTTGCTCTGCTCTGCTGGACGGCTTCGTCCTCTCTCCCTCTCTTTTTTCTTTCAAGAAACAACAAGCCCAGATAAAACAGGAAACGTCCGTCAGCCACACTTAAACGGGCGATCTGTCGCCTCGAAACAATTCCTAAGGATGCAATCAGCAGGAAGATGGAAAGAAAAACAAGGGGGGGAGGCACGATAAGGCCCAGCTTTGCCCTCCCCGCGTGACGCAGCCGGGCTGGTAGCCCAGCAGAGCCGTGTGGGCAGAGCGGGGAAGGGAAGGGTATTTATAACTCCCCAGCCGCCTGTCCTGGGAAGTGGAAGTGACCGTCCTGCTTCCAAGAAGCGGGTCCTTTGGGAGAAGGCAGAGGAGGACACTGACGGGAGCGTCATCTACCTGCCTCAGTTTCCCCCGCAGAGGTCAAAGGGTCCTCAGGGGAAGAGGGGAACAGACCGAGGCTGCCAAGGGACAAGGTGGCTGCAGCCGACCAGCCTCCTTGGAGCCAAGAGCAGATGGCCTGGGCTGCCCTGGGCAGAGAGCTCCGAGTTGCTTGGCGCGGCCTCTGCTCTCAGCAGAAGGAAGAAGATGGGCGAAGCAGTAGAAAACTAGGAGGGGTTTGGGGAGGGGGGAGAGCAGGGGCGTGGGTTGTCTAGGAAAGCCCACGGGTGAGGGAGAGGGTGCTGGGCATGGACCTGTCCTGGATCCCTAAAGTCTGGTTCCTTCCTCAAAGAGACGTGGCCACCACTCTGTTGCGATGGGTGGCAGGTCTCTGGGGAGGGAGGGAGGGGGCCCTGGCAGCAGCCCAACCCCGAAATGCCCCTTTGGGAGGTAGCCTCCCCGGAGGGCTATCCTCGGGGACACGTCTCTCCCCCAAATGCCAATGCTGAGTGGGGCAGCAGCCTCACCACCACTGGACGGATGTATCTTGGGCGGGTTCTTTGATCCAACAGGCAGAGCCACAGGACACCGTGAGGAATGGGCCGGACCCTAGCCTGGGCCAGGGCCAGTTCCCTGTGTGGCCCAAGGCTTGAGTAGAGGGGAGCCTCAGGTGTCCACTCAGCAGACCAGCTCTTTGGAAGGAGGTTGACCAAAGGAGCTGAAACGTGGTAGGTTTTCCGTGGCTGGAGCGGGAGAGGCCACAGCATTGCTTCCTCACCAAGAATGAGCAGCCCAACAGCCCCGAACCTAGAATGGGGAGAAGGTGAAGGCCGCCCTCGCCCCCGGTTCTTGTCTTTTCCTCCTTCTTGAAGGCCTCCATGGATCTTCTGGCCATTAAGCCAAGGAGGACTTTGCCCCAAGCAGTTGTGAGGAACCCATGGCTCCCAGGGGGAGGCTGGATTACAATGCCCATCATGCCCATGCATTAGTTCCATGACTGGGGATAGTTGGTGTCTTGTTCCAGCTCCAAAGATGCAGCCCAGCCTAGAGAGCTGAGATCCAGCCTGCCCAGGGACCAGGGGAACCACCCAACTGACCAAAGGGAAAAGAGGCTCAGAATCACCAGAGGGACAGATGGCCGGAGCTGAGATCCGATGCTCCCGAAGGACACCAGACTGGGGAAGGATCACTTTAGGACGGGAATGGGCCAGATCCCCAGAGGAGGAGGAGCCTCATGTGGCTGAAACAGGCTTCATGCTCAGAGGCAGCTGCAATGGCCCTTACGCCTTCCCAAAATGGCCTGACCCTGGTCAAGAGGACCCTTGACCAAGTGAAAGCAAGAGCGTCTGCACATGCTCTGGGGACAACAGGCCGCTTCCCCCTCCCACCCACCCCCGACTCACTGCACATCAGGAAAGGCCCTGGCCAGGAAAGCCACTTCCATCTGGATGGCCGGCGTGTCTTCCAGCTCCAGGATCCCAGCCAGGTGGGGCACCACGGAGTCCAGCCAGGAGGAGGAGGATTCCTGCAGGAAGGGAGGGGAGAGCAGAGCCTCAAGGGGGGTTAATTCTAGGGCGACCCTCGCTGGTCCTCGAGGAGGAGGAGGAGGGTTGCCGTGGCTCATTTGCAAGCAAACCCCCTCAGGAAGTGGCCTCTCTCCACTGACCCATGGAACCCACTCCTGGAACCAGAGTTCCCAAATACCTTTGGGAATCACAAAAGGATGTGACAAGTGTGCGCTCACCCTTCCCTGAGCCGGAGCTCAGAGGAGGAGAGGGACCTTCCTCTGGCCCTTCTGAGATCCCAAGAGACATCTCCACCAGCCCAGCCACCTTCTCCAGGGCACAGGATCCCCCTCCTTTTTTATTTCCAATCCCCTGGGGAGAAGGCTGTGGGGCAGGGGAACCCTGACTGCTGACGTCTACCCCTACAGGAAGGCCGTGAGCCCCCCCCTTCTCACCAGCTGAATGAAGAACTCCTGCAGCTGCTTGGCCTCGCTCCGGAGTCTCTGGGCCACTTTGGCTCTCATCTTGGACGAAGTGCAGATGATCCGCACTCGCATCAACGGCCGGACGTACTCGATCAGCACCCGCCGGTGGACCTCCCTCACCAGCATCTGTGGGGGGCAGGGGGGGGCAGATCAGGGCTGGCAGAGGACCAGGGCTTCTGGGCCTTGGGTTAGGCCACGGCTGGGTCTGAGGAAACCACCCAGGCAGGACGAGGCGGTTTGGGGGCAGCTTGGTTTCTCTTTGGCACTGGGCACGTGAGGGGTTCTCCGCCTGCCCTCCGTGGCGTCTCGGGCACAGAGGGGAACTGACTCCCGCAGGGCACCAGCTGCTGGGAGAGGGCGGCACGTGCTCCCTCGGACCGGCCTTTGTGTGGAAGGCCAGAAGAAGCCCAGCCAGGGTGGACATGGGCCTTTCTGGACGCCCAACCTGGCCCTGACTGCGAGCCTCTGATGGCACCGAGGGAAGGATTTGCTCGAGAGGAGGGTCTCTGGTGCCCCCGGCAGCTCCTCCCCCCCCCCGCTCTCACCTGGTAGGGCTCCAGCTTCATCCGCCTCAGCCTCTGGGCGTGCTCCGCGAGGAGAGCCATGATGGCGGAGAAGGCCTCGGAGTTGTTGAGCCATTTCCTCTTCATCAGCTTGTAGAAGTAGGGCTGGCGGGGGTGGGGGGGCAGGGAAGGGAGAGGATGCAGCCTTAGAGCAGGTCTGGGTTGAGGGCGGGGGCTTCCCTGGTCGAGTTTGCACTGAGCTCCAAGCAAAGCCCACTCGGGGGAATCCTCCCACTGATCCTTGCAGACCAAGTTTAAGGGTTAGGGTGCTATTGTGTCAGCCCGTCCAATAGGTCTGTTCTCAAAACATGGTGGGAACAAACCATGGTTTATGGGACGTGTGATCCAGCCATCTGATTGGGCTCTCCGGGGGCTTAGTCAGAAAGGGGGCCAACAGCACAACCCTCCCTGCCTCCCCCTGCAGACCCCTCCTCCTTGCGGGCCCCGGGAGACCCTCGGGTTACCTTGAGGCTTTGGAAGAGGTGGTCAGCCAGCACTCGATTGCACAGCCGGGTCACTCGGTCGAGGGACGAACCTGCCAGCTGCTTCACGGCCTCGCTGTCCGGATGACCAAACCTGGCCAGGTGCTCCAGGTAGTCCCTAGAAGAGCGGCCTTGTCAAGCGAGCTGCGTGCGAATTGCGCAAAGCCAGCCGGGCTCATAACTGGGGGGGGCACATCCTTTCCTGCCCATTTATTTCTGGAGGGGACTGAACTGGACCGATCTCAGGATGGGATGCACAGCAAAGAGGGCATCAGGGCCAGGGATGACCACTCACCTGAAGGGGGGGCAGCAGTTGACCAGCATAATGGTCCGGCCCACGTAGCTCTCTGGGCTGAGGCTGCTGACCACCTGGCCTTCATGAAACTTCTCGACTTTCTTCTGGAAACTGAAGGGGGCAAAGAGGATGCCACCATGGAAGACCCTCTGCAGGCAAAGTGGTGAAGCCCCCCCCTCCAAGGCACCTGTTTTGCCTGGCTGTCAGCTCCATCTCCCCACCCTGATGTGGCCCCTCCAGCACAGGAAACCCTCTCCCTCCATTTTTGCAGCAATTGACACCCGGATCAGAACCTGCCAAGTCAAAGAAACGGGCCCTCTCTCTCCACCCAGCGGGGGCTGGTTCACCAAAGACCCCCTGGACCCTTTGGCCACTTCTGGAGTGCAAGAAGACAACCCCCCCCCACACACAGACACACTGTGGCAGCTGCCCTGGGGGGTCTCATTGCACACACAGCCACAGCCCTCTCTATAGCCCTCTTACCCCACCTGTGCTCAGGGACCCTGCGAGACACACAGACACCCCCCTGCAATGCACTCCACAGTGGCCCTGGAGACAAACCCCATCCACACTCGGAAGCCAGAGCTCTCTGAAAACAGGCATGTCAAGAAGCAGACCGCTAAAAATAGTCCCTGGCCGGGCTCTGGCCGTCCACCCCAGCATCCCTGACCGCCGGGCCCTTTGGCTCCACCTCGCTGGCATTTCCTTATAAATGGGCCATGGCGGCTATTTATACCCCAAGGTGAACGTATTCCTGGCGGCCAGTTTGAAATGGAAACTTTGTGCCATGATCCCCTTCAGCCCATCGCGTGCCCACCCTGCGCCACCCTCCGTGTATTTTCTCCCACGGGAAGCACACGCAAACGCAGGGGGAGGGGCTGCCAGGTTCCAGACATCCCTCAAGGAGTGAGGGGGCAAATCGCCGGCCCTTGGAGGGTCCGGATGGGGCAAAAGCCAGCAGTGCTCTCTGTGGGACCGCCTCGGCTTCCCCCTGCCTTGGGCAGAGCAGCCCGTTCTGGGGAACAAGACCACCCCCAACTTTGCTTTCCCCCCGACTTGCCCATCTCTGCCCCTTGATGCAAACACGTGGCAGCTGTGGTGAGCCCAGCCCGGGAAAACAGGAGGGCTGAGAAAGCAACTCACGCCTGTCCCACCTCGACCCATTCTGGTGCCAGAGGGAGGGGAGGGAGGCAGCATCAGGGGAAGCGCTGCCCCAGCTTTTCCTGGCTCGTGGGTCCCCACCGCAGCCCACACGGGAAGAGAAGCCGCCAGGGCCGGGCCTTAGGTTTTGGAGAGGAGGCACCTCCCAGCTCAGCCAGAAACCACGCCGGGCTGGTCTGCAGCCTGGCAGTAACATTTGAAGAAAGAAAAGAAAGCCAGGAGATGCCCCAGCTGTGATGCCCCTAAGCCAGATTTCGCCCCTTGAAGACTGCTGGACCCTCCCCTAACAGAGGGCCTGGCTAGAGATGCTGCAGCAACTGGGGCGTCTCTTGTGCCCCATGCCCAGCTCCTTCCTGGGCAATACCTCTGCAGGAACTCTGCCAGGCTGGCAAGGCAACAGTGAGCCACCCTTCTTCCAAACTCCTCCGTGATTTGGGGGGCTTTGTCGGCGTGCCCCTTTAGCACCTGCAAGGCAAGAGAAAGACTCAGCAGCTCCACAAAGCCTCCCTGGAGATTTGGGGGGGGGGGCAGCCTTCTGGCCAAAAGGGGGAAGCTTCCTGTGGTGAGAAGTAAGACGGGCACAAGGGGCTCGGGTGAGTTACCCCCTTTGCTGTGTGGGCTGAGCGTCCTGGAAGGAAGCTGCTGCCCGAAGCAGAAAAATAAAGGGGGGGGGGGTTAATGAGATTGCAGGGCAGGGGGGGGGACCCCAACATACCAGGATGACTTTGCTGGACAAGCCGAACTGAAAGCTGTTCTCCTTGTCTTCCTGGGCCCACCTCCCTTCCTCCTCCTGCAGCTCCTGGCTCATGTCCCTGCTGATCGCCACCTGCGGATGCACGGGAGAGAGTCCACAAAGGGGGGCTCCAGTGGGGGGGGCACCCGTGGCTTGCAGCTTTGGGGATAGGAGGGATGTGGGGAGACCTCTTGAGGCCACCTGGCCATCCATCTCCTCCCTGAGACTGCCCGGAAGGAGACTTCAGTGGCCGTATACCATTTTTATGGCAGAGCAGGGCTATGGTGGCTGGCCAGGGCTATGGATGCCCTTTGGCCTGTCTGGAGCCTCAGTGGGTTCTCCCCCCCCCCCCCCGCCCTGCCCGTTGGCCAGCTATTACCTTCACAGCGGCAATGCACTCCTCCTCCAGACTCTGCTGTGTTTCCGGGGACAGGAGGGGGCCGAGCTCCTGGGGCTTGACCATGGGGGAGATCTCTGGCCGGCTGAGGACCTCCCTGTGGTAGGGGGAGGGGAGAGAGAGAGAGAGAGAGAGAGAGAGAGTTCCTGGAAAATCCAGGGTCCTCCATGGCGTCACCTTGCCAGCTCTGGCACAGAAGCAGCCAGGGCATGACCAGAGGGCTCTGCTCGGGGGGGGGCTGAGTTCTGCCATTGAAAAGAGGTTTGGGGGAGGATCCAGGCCCCCATTTCTCTCTGGGGGAGATCTAAAGTGCTGCGCCCTGAGTGCCGGAAGAGGCCCAGGGCATTTTGTGGGGCTAGAAACTTCCAGCTGGGCTGAATTACCATTGAGCTTGTAAGAAAATTCTGCACTGCACTCCTGGTGCCTTACCTTGGCCACCCCCTCTTCTGGGGCGCTCCTCTCACCCGCCCCCCCCAAACTATATGCCAGCTGCCAGCCGGCATTCCCACTTGGGCCCCAGGAGGGTCCGTGCTGGGTGGGCAATCCTGCAAAGAGCCCAGGCCCTCCCCCAGCCTCTGCCTCCCCCCCCCCACTCCAAGGGGCTCTCACTGCCCACCTTTGGTAGATGTTGCTGTTCCAGTCCAAGACGAAGTAGAGCTCAGAGAGGCTCAGCTGCTTCCGGACCCCTTCGGCCAGGCAGCGGGCCAGGCCCCGGTGGTAGCTGCCCAGGTAGACACCAAAGGCCTGGTACTCCTCGGGGTAGACCTGCAGCAGGTGGCGCTTGACGCTGCTCAGGTCCTCCACTGTGCACTTGGCCAGCCGGTCCATCCGGGTGGCAATGGTGCCCGCCCGGCCCTCCACGCACTGGCACAGCTTCTGGCCCGCCAGCCGGTCCACTGCCTCGGCCCACCGCTGCCTCATCTGCCGGGGCCCCGGGCTTCCCGCGGAGCCTCCCTGGGCCTGGCGCCAGCTGCGGTCAGCCTCCTCCTCCTGCTCGATGACCTGCACCAGCTGCTCCAGGGGCGGGTAGGCGCTCTTGGCGGCCAGCGCCTCGGCCAGCACCGCCCAGAGCGCCTCCTGCAGCGCCTCGTAGAGCAGGGCCACGTCCTTGGCCTTCCGGCTGCCGTCCTTCCCGCTGGCCCCGCTGCCCCCCTGGGCGCACTCGGCCTCCAGCTCCATGATGTGCCCGTCGGCCAGGCGGAGCTCCCGCTGGTGGATCAGGTTGAGGATCTCCAGGACTGAGCGAGGGACACAAGCGGGAAGGGAGCCTGAGGCTGGGGCGGGGGGTGGGGCCCCACCGCCCCCCTCAGGCAGGGAAGGGCCCAGAGGGGCTCTGTGCCCGTGAGCCCCCCCCCCAAGTGAAAAAAGGCTGCGACTCTAATCAGGCCAAGAACCGACCCAGCAGAAGCAGCTCCCTCAAGCCATAAATGGGCCGTGCAGGGTCGGAGGGCGTGGAGAGACCCGGCCCCAGAATCGCCAAGAGCCGGACAGGGCTGAATGGAGACCATCGTTGTGGACCTCACCCAAAGCACAAAGACCGAGGGGTGCGGCCATTGTGAACCTCTGGGTGCCTCCCCCTGAGGGCCAAATTTCTGGGAACAGCCGCTCTGGCATCCTGAGTATTGACCATGCCCGCGGAAGCACAGCTGACCGGTGGAGCTGTGGATGCCTGCCCATGGACAAGGCAACTTCCCCCCACCCCCACCCCCCGCTTGCATGCCTGAGGTGGCCCTCCTGAGAAGAGGGATCCATTGCCGGGGACCACCAACTCTCATGACAGCCAGACCTTTCCTGTGTACCAGGGGTCAGTATCCAGAGGTGACCACAGGGAGGGGGTGGAGTAACTGGGGCCTGTTGGCCTCCCGTCCTGGAACCAGAAGGGACCTGGATGGCCAGGGGGGGCGGGGGAGCGGGGGAGAGGGTCCCAGGCTTCATGCACATCCTCGGCTTGCAGGAAGTCCAGCACAGAACGCCGGCCTTGTGAGGGTTTCAAGGCACCCACCGTCCTCATCGTCATCACAGGAAAGAGCCTTCCTCCCCGCAGCCTCGGAGGGCCGAGGGTCCGGCTGGGCTAAAAGCGGCCTCTTCCGTTTCCCTGCCCTCCGCCGAGGGGAAATGCCCCAGACGGATGACGCAGTCGCCTGCCGCACAATGACCTGACCTTATCAGCTGAACGGCAGAGATCAGCTTGGGGGCGGGAGGGGTGGGGGGCTGGCAGGGGGCAGGGCCCTTTCCTTGCAAGTTTGATTCATGGGTGAACCTGGGAAATGGGGCTGCCCCACTCAAAAGGGGCGAAGCTCCCAGGTTCCCCTTACGGGCCTCAAGCCCCTCTGAGAAGGGGGCGTAGGGAGGGGGCTGTGGGAGGGGGCAGTTCCCACTCCATTTGCCCTTATGCCCAAGAAACGACCAGGGACACCGACAGCCCTTCTTTCGCGCAAGCCCTGCCCAATGTCCTAGCACTCAGCCCTTTTGGGGTCTTCGGGAGAGTGAACCTGCGAGAGACCCCTCCCTCGCATGGAGGATGCCCCCCAACTGGGCCATGCGAAGAAACCACCAAGACCCATCATCAGCCAGACGGAGGCTCCTCTCACCCAGCCTTCCCCAACCTCCAAACAAGACTGGGCTACAATCTTCCTAATCCCCCTCCCCAAAAGGGCCAAAAGGCTGGGCCAGGTAAAAACAATTGCAGAAGAGAAAAGGGCCACGGGTGACAGAGGTGGAAGGGACCCCTTCTAGTCCAACCCCCTGCTCAAGCAGGAGACCCTGCAGCCCTCCAGACAAGCGGCCGTCCCATCTGCTCTTAAACATTCCACACAAAGAAGGCAGGCTAAAGCAGCCCCAAGAGCCCCTCAAACGGCCCAGGGGACCCCCCCCCAAGGAGAGCTTCCGACTGTGTCCTCCGAAGCCTTCATGGCTGTGCAGCCCCAGGAAGTTTCCCAAAGCCCCAGGGTGGGCTTCCCACATGCCGAGGTACCAAGTGGACCTTGGGGGGAGGGGTCCTTCAGCCAAGGAGTTCAGCCATCCCCCCCCCGAGTGCTTAGCCGTGATTGGTGGGTGAAGTCTAATGGCACAAATAAGCAAGGTTTGAAATACCAGCATGCCTGGCCCAGGCATGAGACCCCCATGTCCCTGGGATTTGCCTGTCAGAGGAATTATGAAGGGGGCAATGAACCACAGGTTTGGGTGGCCCCTCATCCCCCCCCGCCTTGCCAATTGGGTGCCACTGGCTGCTTCCACTCCCTTGGGTGGGAGAAGGCTGCCAGGCCCCCACGTTCCAGTGGATGAGCAGCCTGGCCCCAATGGCTGGGGGGGGGGGCTTCTGGTCAGCAGCTTTGAGGTCGTACCCGCCTGGGCAGAGCTGCAGCTTTTAACTGCAGTCGAAGAAGAGGGGGAGGCAAGTCACAGCCTGCCCCCTGCCTGAGGGCTTCCCCTTGTCTGTTCTGGGAGGGGAGGGTCCTCAGCATCACAGGCAGAGAGAGCAGCTCTGCCCCCCTCTCAGCTGCTTTTTTGGACAGGGAGGGCTGAGCGGGGCCTTTGGGGGCGCACTGAGTACAGGGGGTGTCTCCTCCTACGCAGCCTGGCCTTCCTCTCCCCTTCTGCTGAGCCCAGCTAGAGGAGGCCCCCGGGCACCGTAGGGAACCGGACAGGGGTCACTCGGGGAGGGCTGGCACAGCCTTGGCTTTCGGGGAAGGAGGGCGCCACCGCTAGCCGATCCAGCCCTGGGCCTCCGGGAGGGGGAGGAAGGGTCTTTCCAGAGGCTGGATGGCTTCTGCCCATGCTGCCCCCTCCCCCAGCGCCTCCTTCTGCTCTTGGCAACTTCTCTGGGAAGGTCACAGGCCGCGGCTCAGGAGACGCTCCGGCAATCAGGCACTGAATCACGGCAGGGGAACAATGGGCCCGAGGCCCACAAAATATGTGCGTGAAGGGAAGAGAAACTCATTAGCTGCAGCGCTCAGGAGCTGATAAGCAGCCTGGCCATGGTCAGAGACGCCAGGGCCCCTCCTCCCCTCCGTCCTGGGGGGGGGCTGGGAAGGGCCACTTGGACAGCCAGCCGTTGCCCCTGGGAAGGCAGAGACCCAGCAGAGACCCAGAGAGCAGGCAAGGGGTCCCCGAGGCTCCTCCGGCCTGGGCATCACAGCTGCTCATGGGGGACCCCCGGGATAGGGAAAGATCCATGGCCAGCCTCTGGGCGTGCCTGGGGGGGGGCACCATGTGATCGTGGCCTGCACTGAAGTTTGAACCCGCCACTCCTGCTAGCAAAGCTACTCTTTATGGGCGCCCTGCCTTGGAAGGAAGGGGATCTTTCTGGGGTTTTTAAATTATGACAAACGAGCCCAAAATTTATGTTGTTAAGTGAGTCACTTGTCGAGTGAGTTTTTCTCCATTTTACGACCTTCTCTCAGTTATTAAGTGAATCTCTGCATTATGAGTTAGTAACCCTGCTGTTCAACGAGTCTGGCTTCCCCTTTGGCTTGGCTTGGCGGAAGATGGAACCAGCCTTGGACACACGAACCCCCCGGAGGGTCTGAGGCTTCCTGGACAGGCTGTTTGCCCCAAGGTGAGCCGGCCTGCTTGGATCATGGCTGGCCCACCTCCGCCTGCCTCAGACTCCGCTGCTCGCTTGGGGAAGGACTCCTCGGCCTTCCCAGACATGTCCCTGCACGGGCAGGCAGAGCCGTGCACTGCAAGGGGGGGTTGCTCTTCAGGGCCCCCTAGACTTAAGCTAGCAATTGGGACGCCCTGGCTGGTCCCTGGATTAGGCATCCTCTCCAGGCCCCCCAGAGGGCTTAGCGTGCCGGGGCGCCAGGAGGGAAGGTGGGTGCCGGCTCCACGTCTGGTTTGGCCAGGCCAGACTCACCTGAGAGCGGTTCCTTGGGCTTGGGGTCGCACTTCTCGCCCACCGGGGCCGCCTCTGAGCCCTCCATCTGGTTGAGCTTCTCCACCAGGGACGCCCGGCGTACCTTCCCGCCCAGCCCGATCTTCAGGAAGGAGCCACGCTTGGCGGCATCCCCACCGCCGTTCTCCTCCGCCAGGCCGCCTTCCGAGCTGTAGAGGCCCTCCTTGCGGCGCGCGTTGAAGCGCTGCATCAGGCTGAAGTCCTCTGAGCAGCGACGCAGCTTCTTTGGCACCCGCTGGCCCAGGTTGCCCTCCATCAGGGGCAGCATCATGCGCTCCAGGAAGGACCGCCGGTCGGAGCCCTGCTCGCCCCCAGGCGACCGCTTCTCCCCGCTCTTCCGGCCCTTGCCCAGGCGGAAGGGGCTCAGCCCCACCAGCTTCTCCAGGGTGGCCCGGCGCCTGAAGCGGTCCTCGGGGCTCCCGCTGAAGACACCCCTCTCCAGGTCCCCCGGGAGGGACCTGTCTTGGCCAGGGGAGAGGCCCCCGAGGAAGGAGTCCCTCTCCTTCTCCTCCAGGTCCTCCTCGAAAGGGTTGGTCCCCGGACTCTCCTTGGCCAGGATCAGCGTCCCACTGCGGCTGCCGCCCCGCCCACTCTCTCCGGGGCCCCTGCTGGCCATCTTGAGTTGATAGGGGTTCTTGAGGACTGGCATGGCGGCTGCCTTCCCTGGGCCCTGCGGAGGAGAAAGGATGCTCAGCCATCGCTGCTAGGAATCGCACGGATGCCCTCAGGAGGTCCCACTTGACGCAAGAGATCTGGGAAAGGACATCCCAGCCCCCCCTCCCAATTCTGGAGCCAGATTCAGATATGGGGCCAGGGTGCCGGTTGCTTTGAATCAGCCATTCATTGGCTGTTTACTCAACCTACTGGGCCATAAAAGGAGGTTTATAATTGACAGCCGTGGGCTCTGCCCAAAGCAAGGAGACACCCTGGACATGTTTGCTTCCCCATTCAAATTGGGGACTTTGCTTTGCTGTTGGGTTACAAGAAGAGGGAGGTGCCCCCTTCACTGGAAACCCCCTGGCAGCAAAGGTCCTCGGAAGAGGACGGGAAAATTTCCACGCAAAGAATTTTGGGAACATTGCAAGGTGTGGGGTGAGTGGAAGGCAGGCCAGAGGATGGAGGAGGAAATGCAGGTAGGCAGCAGAGAGGCCCACCCGGGACCCCACAGTGGCCCCCACAGAGGGGAGAGCCAGAAAAGCTATGTAGGGAGAGAGGCCACCCGGTCACTCCGGAGCAGGAGCGTCAGCTGAAATGGACCAGCCAAAGTGCTGCTCTATCAGGGACCACCTTGACAGCCCAGAGCTGGATGGGGCTCTCCCCACCCACCCCCCTTGGCCCAGGGGGTTTGCCACCCCCACTCTGGAAGCTGCTCTTGGCATGGCAGGTGGCAAAGGTGAGCGGTGGAAGCTCCACCTCCCATGGAGTCCTGACCCACAGAAGCAGCCGTGGAGGCAGCATGCAGGGAAGGGCATCAGGCACGTCGCTTGTTGCTTTGCTCCCCACTTCTGTGCAACTGCCCCTGAGAATGGAAGTGGGGCCTCCCCGTAGGGAAGAGGTTCCAGCAAAGGGTTAGGGGGCAACTTGGGGCAGGCCAGCGTTCTTCTTCTTCTTCTCTTCTGCATCCCTTGCCAAGTTAGGAACAGGCGAAAATGCCCAGTTGGCAGAACCTCTGCAAAGTGATGACCGAGCCTCCCAGTGAAGGGGCTCCGAGCCAAAGTGGGATGGTCTGGACTCACCCTCCCCAAAAGACCACCTTTAGAACCAGCCTCTCCAGATCTGCTGGACTACAACTCCCATCCTTCTCCTCCAGCACATCTGTTTTGCCCTGGGCTGGGGGGGGAAGGCCAGGAGGTGCTCTGGCTTGTCCTGCAAGGGAGGGAGAAGGAGGGAATTTCTCCCCCAAGGAAGCCCCAGCATTTGCTGCGGGGGGAGGGGGGGAAGCAGCCTCCAAGGAGCCTCTCTGGATGTCCAGGCTGCCAAGAAGGCGGCTGTCTCCTTGCCTTCAAAAACGGGTCATGAGTGGCTTTGGGGTGGTCCGTCGTAACCTGGGTCACTAAGTGGGCGGTCATTAAATGAGGACTAACTGTATGCATTTGTGCATGCAAGTATGCACATTTTGAGAGGGAGGGTGATTATCTGGATGACGGTCACCTCAACTAAGGCCCCTTCATACCAAATGCCGCTTTAGGCAACTTAGAAGATAAATCCACACATTACACTGCCTTGTCTAGTAAATTTCCAGCAGGTTCAGCTACAAGGCCGGCTTTGGGCAGATGTGATGACCTTGGCAGACCTGCGGAGGGAGGCTGCAAGGGAGCGGTCAGATAAAAGGCAAGGGCAGGAGTGCGGGCAGGGCAGGCAGCTCAGAAGAGACCCTCCCCAGTTCCTCAGAGGTTGGGAAGAGATGCACTTCCAGGCTTCCAAGATTCGATTAATGTTAACTTTGCAATAAAATAGAATTAGCTCATCCAGCCAAGTTACCTGTGTGGTCTACCTCGCAAGGCTGGCAGCAGCCAAGGCTAAGAAGGGGAAGCTTTTGCACCACTTGGCCCCCTCCTTTGGGTCTGTGCAGGCAAGCTCTGCTCCCGGGTCTGAGTTGGAGACCCCCAATGCCAAACACGAACAGGTGGGGCCTTGACAAGCAGCTCCCCTGCCAGGCACTTCAAGGGGAGGGAGCCGGAGCCGGGAGTCTGCAGAGAGACCGGCCAACTGCACCAGAGGGATGGAGGTGCCCTATTTTGCGCCCAGGTTCCTCTCCAGCCACCCCCAGGACTTCCCCATCACGTGCCTCGCTAAGCAGTTCAGCAACCTACAAGAGGGGACAACCCCCAATAAGTCCAAAGCCAAGCTGGGTCCACTGAAATGCCGAACCGGTTCACAGTCAGAGCCAGCCAGCGCCGGCAGCAGGGCACCAGGCGCCCCACAGAGCGTCTGCACCCCCTACCAAGCCCAAATCAAGCCGGCCACGTTGGGAGGGCCCAAAGGTAAGAACCCAAATGCCCTTGCAAAGACCGCAGATGTGGCCATGCCGATCTTCCGAAGGGGGTCTGCCTTGCCCTTTGGATCCCGGAACGAGGGAAGAGACCCCTCTCTTGAGAGCGATCCCCGAAGTCTGAGTGGTTTTGGATGAGATCACCCTGCCCCTGGATGAAAGGGGACAGGGAAGGGATCTGCCTGGGTGCGAAGGGGTGGAACCCATTGGGGTCCCCGGAAATAATCCTTCCTTACGGCCAGTCCTGGATCTTAAAGAGAGGTAGAACTGCAAACGCTCAGAGAAGGCCGCAAGTGACTCAGTGTCTGGGGAAAGGCCCCCCAAGTAGAAAGCAGAGAATTTAGCTCCCCCAACCAAAAGAAAAAGCAAAGGGGGCAGGGGATGAGAGAGGGAAGCATTGTGGGGGGATGGGAGAGATGGGGGTCCCCCTTTTTTATATGCTCAGAAAGGATTGGGGAGACTACATCCATCTTCAGCGTTCTCCTCCCCCCACAAGGATGGGACGGGGGCCATCAGCCAGGGCCGTCCAGAGGGGCCAGGGCCGTCCAGAGGGGACTAGACCAGCTCAAGGCAGAAAAGGCTTTGCTGGGAGCAAAGAGAACTTCGGGAAGGGCCAGGATGAGGCTCCCCCCTCTGCCAGCTTCCTTTCCTCTGGGCTCGGCCCCTGGCCTGGGGGGTTGGCGGTGATTTGAGATTTGAGATTTTATTAAATTTATACCCCGCCCTTCTCCCGGAGGACTCAGGGCGGCTTACAGCCAGTTTAAAACAGTGATACAATACAAAATTTAAAAAGATTAAAAATAACTATTTAAATTTGGCCGCTTCTACTAAAAATTTAATTTAAAACCCCTTTAAAATACCCCTAGGCCAGTCCTGCCTGCT